TTTCTCCCTTTGACTGATTTCGGTTTTAAGAGGTATTTTGCCCCAGGATTTCCTCTCCCCAGACTTAGAATCTGCCAAGGGACAATCAGCAGAAAGGGGGAGTGTTGAAGTTTCAGTAGGGAGAAGGGGTGATGGCTGATGGTGATGACCCGAGAGACTGAGAGAGATTAACCTGGGCAGAACAAGGGGCACATATTTCCCTGAACCCAGAGAAAAAGAAACGTGTGGAGGCCCCTATCTGTCAGGACAAACCTGGTTATGCTGTGCTGACAACCTACAGAATCTTCACAGCTTACATCAAGAATGGTATCTCACTTTCTCTTTTTCTCCCACTATACGTCCAGTGCCAGTAGGCTCTGATTTAATTCTGTGTTATCTACATTTCAGGATTTCAGCATGTGCATCAGCCCCTATCTGGACACTACAGTCTTTGTGGCAGAAGTAAAGAGAGGATGGCAAACGATGCATGAGCTCACAAACTCCTACTGGTAAGTGATGCCCATCCCCTCAGTGCACATTTCATGGCTAAAGCAACTCCCATGATCCTGAGCTCAATAAAGCGGGACTGGCAAGAGGGACGATGACTGGCCAGTAGCACAATCAGCCATGAGGCCCATCCTACTTGTTTGGTGATAGAAGTTGCTCTGCCATTGATGCAGTCGATATTTACTAAGCCCCTGCTATGTGCTGATGCTGCACTTGGCTCATAGACACCTAAATAAGACAGACCTTTGCTCCCTAGCTGTTATGGTTTAGGGAGTTCCCATTGACAGCCATGGCTTTCTTTGTGGACATAGAGAACTCTTCATCTGCTGAGAGGGAGGGAGTTATTTGAAGGTATGGAGTCTGAGGAGAGAGGTAAACATTTCAAACTGCTGAGCAAAATGGAAAAGAACACTGAATAGCAGGAATAAAGAAGATTCCCAGACAGCATTGCATGTCCTGCTGTGGATGGCAAATTCCTGGTTGTGAGATGTTTCCTTTTGGGCTCAGTACACTAGATAGTTTTATAGCAAAAAGAGGTAAGGATCTGGGGACCATTTAGGGAACAAAAGAGCCAGAGGTGATGTTGATTAGGAATGGATGCAATCTAGGCTAGTTCTAGATAGGAAGAAGGGAAAGTCATGTGGGCAAATGCTGCCTGATGGACACAGGTCCCAAGAGCAAGATTAGGAGGAGAGTGAGTGAATTTAGAAAGGCAGGAGGTACTGACCAAAGAATGCAAGGCTGCAATTGAACATCGCACACATAGAGGTAGAGCCTTCTTGGTATAGAAAAAGCCAGGGCCATGGATACTGGGTGGGGGCACTGGTTGATCTTTATTCAGGCCCTGATGGTTCCTGCAATTAAGGGTTATATCCACACACAACTTTCTATTTCTCTCACCATACAAGGCCAAATTTACTGGGGAGAATAAATAACTACCTATATTGTTTTGTCTCCCCAACCCCCACCCTGTTCCAGATCCCAGTCACTTCATGGCTACTTTAGAAAAAAAAACAGGAAAAATAAAACATTTCCTCTTGAAGTCCTCCAGTGCTTCTTTTACGGTGCTATGTGTGTACCAGGTGTTTATACATTGCTATTGAATTGAATCACATTGGGATTCCTTTTTCTACTTCCTATTTAATAACAGGAAACTCCTTTTGGCATTGGGGTTCTATAAATGTTCAGCAGCTTCAACAACTATCTTTTCTCTGAGGACTGTAAATGGTACTCATCTCCAAATCATGTAAAGGGAGATGGGAACAATAAAATGTGGGAATGGAACATAAGAAAACAGAATGGGTGGTGGATCTTCAAAATAATTTCAACAAAACCAGTATTTTTAAGTTCAGTTTTATTAGGATATAATTAAAATACAACAAAATTCACCAATTGTAAGCATGACAAATGTATATAATAGTACAATCACTACTACATATATCATTTCCATCACCCTGAAAAGTGTCCTCATATGAGCCCCTTTGTAGTCAATCTGCTTCCCCTTAACCCCAGCCCCTGACATCATCTATCTGCTTTCTTTCACAGTGGTTTTGCCTTCCAAGAGTTCCATGTAACTGAAATCATACAGTTTATACCCTTTCATGCTTAGCTGCTTCAAGAAAACTAGTTTTACATCGAGGATATGAAAACAGCTGTATGTTAAGAAAGGCAAGGAAAAATCGTAAGATTCACCTGTCTGAGTGCCCACCTATGCTGACCTTATCCTAATTAATAATTCCCAAGAAAAATCAAGTTGTATGTGCTAGCTGTATTTTTCTAAAATCCATTAAAAATAATACGTAATTATTGGAAAATTTTAAATGCTTATCTGGATACCACTGATATGCATCTCATATGCCATCAATGGTAAGCAAGTCTCACTTAGGAAGACACTGCATTTAAAGATTTTGACAGCGTTTTGTAACAGTCTCATTCTCTGTCATTAATTTTGGCCATTGAATCTCAAAGGAACCATGAGGAAAATTTTTCAATAATTATGATACCCAAATCCCCACACATAGTATAATAACATGTATACATTTACCCTAGTTTTAAAGATGAATTCAAACCTCTTTTCACTTTCTACCTTTATTCCCCATTTTATTTGGTTGGAACTAGCAAAAAAAAGTTTGGGTATAATAGAAAACAAAAACACAATATTTAACTAAGATGGGAAAATTGAGACTCACCATGCAACATACTTAGATTGGGAATACTTTCTGCAGAATATGAGATTTGAAGAGAGCTTAACATCAGGTAGATGGCAACTTAGCATCATCCAGGCAAACAGTCGGTTAGGAGAGCATAGCAGTCAGACCACAAGGACCTTACAGAAAGTGTACAAGGACATTTTGCAGTGGAATATCTGTGACCATCCATGTGTGTACACTAATGCTTCCTGTATGTGGGTTACAGTTGCTCTATTCTGTACTTTTAGGATGATTCAGTTGTTTGTTTCTGGGTGGTTGACTCAGCTGACTGAATCATTAAAGAGAACTTGAGGTTGGGTAGCACTGACAACGCAGAGCCATGAGGACCCCTATCTTACTGTAGATGGAGTCTTGTAGGAAATTAGAACTCTGGGAGGTCCCCAAAGGGCCATGAAAGTTCGAATAAGAAAAAGATCTACACTTAATTAAAAAGTTTCTCTTTTACATTTGTCTTGTGACAGTTTTTGCTGCTTGGTAAGGTTAGAGGAGGAAATTATGAAGGGTGATGGGTAAACCCACTGGCCGGAGTTGCAGATAGGCAAGTCCTATACCTACTTTTCCAGTGTTTTTTACTGAGGTGAAATTAGGTTGGATTAAAATATCTGTGGCAACTTTGAAAAACAGTATAACAAAGGCTGTCTGGAATGGTCTATGGAACAGGAGTGGTACAGTAATACCTACTTGGCCTGACTAATATATTAGTCACCAGCCTTTCATAGCATTCCGAGGGATGTAAACAAGTTGCTGGATGCCCAATTCACCCTGCTTTGCCTGGCTGTTTGGTAGGAATGGTAGATTAATCCAGGGCTTTGGATAAAGGGGGTCCTTTTGGGTCTCTGTATTAGTTATTATTTGTCACGTTGTGGGAACCTATGAGAAACAGTTTCTCAGACTTTTTACATGCTAACCGTTAAATATTCAAGGGGCCATTTCAAAATGAAACTTTGACTTCATATCTGGTGATAATTGCATAGTTCTAAACATGGATTTATCCAAAATTGGTTCTGTTTAAGCATGTAGTTACATATTGAACATGCCTAATCTATCTTAGGCAACTGGTGACTTTCTATTGATAACTTGGCTTCATTTTCCTCTTTGCTTCTGGAGATTGCTGAGGGCTTAAGTCACTAATGTATGTGCAGGCCTGATGACTGTTCTGTATTTAATTAGCAATGTCAGTTCAATATGAACATTTTACTTGCACTGATATTAAATATTTTCACTTTAAACTGCAAATTCAACTCAAAAAGATTGCAGGATCAAATTTCATTTTGCTTTTAAAAAAAAATGCTACCAAAACCAAAGCCCACTTTGCAATTCAAATCCTTTTTTTTTTCTGCATACAGAAGCATAGGACAATGATCAGTTATACATACATGGATTCCAGGAAGCTAAGCAAAAAGAATTTGTCATCTAAGTAAAGTCGATTATGGAAATTTTAAATGAAGAAAACACCAAATTAAGAGGGCAAAAGGAATCATTTTCCTTCTTTGAACTGCACTGTTTGAGCTTATGTAACAAAAACATCCCCAAATAAAAAAATTGTAAATAATTTACTTATTTAAATATTTTTAAAAGTAATGTTTCCCAGTAAACACAGGGAGGGTCAACCAAAAAAAAAATCCCCTTTTGTTTTAAACTGTTTAGTATCATTTACTACCTTGGTAAGTGTGTAGATATCTCCCTGCTACCATGAATTTTGCCTGTATTGAATCTATCTGTAGATGGAGACGACTGTCAAGTATCTGTACGGACTCCAAGACAGACTGACCGGAAGTTGCTTTTAATTGAAGAGGTCTCCGTTTTCTTGTGCTGAATCCCTCTCAATTCAGTCACCCCCACCCCTTCCCGCCGAACCCCCAGATAAAGAAAGACTTCCACTAACTTGAAGGAGTCTATAAAAATTCCTGTACCAGTTTTCGTTAAACTGCTTTTCTCCTGGTTACTTGTATCTTGCAATAATCTTAAAATTAAAAAAAAAAAAAGCAGCTATTGATCATGTGGACAATGGGAATCTTAATTTTACGGAGAAATGCAATTACATATGAGAAGTGCGCGAGATGATGTGCATTTGAGTGAAGTCATCCGACATTTCACTTTTTTACTTGAAGTTGTCAACTTGTGTCCGAAGATTTAACGACTATTAAGACAAGTCAGTTTTGCACCCTGTCAGACTTGGCCTGTTTACTTCTTGGCAATATTAAGTGTCAAGTAGGTCTTGTTCTCCTAATCTGTGAGAACGGAATTCAACTCCCACCCTTCCGGGAGTTTCCCCGCCTATTTTCTCCTGGAGTCAAACATTCCTCTAAGGATCCAAGAGCTCAGTCGCAGTGCCTGAGGAAAGCAGTCAGTCCGTTCAATTAAAGGGGCCCCTGGCTTCGGATTTTTTTACGAGGGTAAGGAAGAGTAGGAGGGCGAGGGATGGACGCGAAAGGCTCGATCCTTAATCCAAGCCGGAGACAAAGGTGAGTCAAGGGGACGCGACGGGGACGCGGAGCCGGGAAGAGGGAGGCTCCCCGGCACCCGACCGGGTGGCGTGACTTTTAGGAAGACTCGGAAAACGGGCCAGGGCTGGGTAGGGCGGCAAGGTCCCAGCGGGGCGGGCAAACCCGTTAATCATAGGAGGGGCGAGGCTGGCAATGCCCCTTCCCGGAGCCGCGCCGCCCCTGCCGGGAAATGAAACCCACGCGGGCACTCGGATCACGAGCTTGGAACGCCCCACCACCGCCGCCGCCGCCGCCGCCGCCGCCGCCGCCGCCGCCGCCGCCGGCTTCCCGGAGCGGGCGCCTGGGAGGGAGAGAGCGTGCCTCACGTCCTCTTCGTCAGCCCCGCCCCCTGCGCGCTGCGCACGCGCGGCCGCACCCCGCCCCTCGCGTTCCCCCCGGGGTGAGGGGGCGGAGGCGAGAGTAGGGAGGTGAGGAGGCCGCGGGAGTCCCTAGACAGAGCGCGCGAGGATAGAGCGCGCGAGCCGCCGCCGCGTCACGGTTGCCCCTCCTCTGGCACCTCCTTCCGCACCGTTTCTCCCTCCTCTCCCCCTCGCGCTCCCACCAAGCGGTGACTTAAGCAACGGAGCGCGGTGAAGCTCATTTTTCTTCCTTGCAGCCGCGCTGGGCAGCCCGCTACGCGCGGCCCCCACTCTCCGGCCCGAGATGAATGCTGCGGCACAGGCCGAGTTCAACATCCTCCTGGCCACCGATTCCTACAAGGTAGAAGCTTGGGGCGGGGGCAGGTGCGGCGCGTCCGGGCGAGCACGAGGGAGGCTGAGGGGCGGGGGGCGGCCGGCCCGGGGTCGTGACGCGGGGTGACCTGAGGAAGGCGCGGGCGCGGCGGCGGAGTGGGTACGGGGGCAGGTGAAGCTGGCGCCGCAGTGGGGAGAAGGCGGGTGGAGAAATGGGCTGCAAGATGCAGGGCTTGGGGGTGCGGCGGGCGCTGAGGCGGGCCGAGTCGGCGTCTCCCGCCTGCCCGCTGCGGGGCTCGGCCCTCGGGGCTCGGGCGGGCCTTGCAGGCCCGCGGCCGGTGCGGCTGGGGCGTCACCGGCTGAGCGCACGCTTTTCCCAGGAGCGTGGCGTTTTGGCCCCGGGCCGGGGCGGGCCCGGGCGAGGGCTCGCTCGAGGAGCCGGTCAGTTAGATAACGGCCTCCGGGGCTCCCTGTGGAGGAACGGTTTGGGAAGTGGGGTTTTCCCCGCCGAGCTGAGTTAGGTGTGTTGCCGCCCTTGTTGGGCAGGTAGGTCCCTTCCCGAGGATGGGGTGGCCGAAGTCCTCGTACGGGTGCGGGAGCAGCAGCCGCTTCCTTCTGCCTGTGGCCGGGATGCGGAGGACACTTACCTGCCTTCGGTAGCGGTTCTGGATTCCCCCGTCCCACTCCCCTAGGCTCCCGTTTCAAACTCCTTTGCTTCTGGTGATGCTCCTCTGTTGCAGAGGCTGGTCCGCCTGTATTCCATTAGGGACTCAACAGGATGTCTGAGAAAAGGAAAGTGAAACACGAGGAGTTAAAAGAACAGTTTTTAACCTTGGAGAAGTTGTAAAGAGAGAAGTGTCGCAACATTGTGTTAATATGCCTAACGGCACTTGCAAGTATAACTGCCCCATTAATTTTATTTGGAACTTATACTAGTAAAGGAAAATTAGAGAAGAATGTGAAAAATGTTCTTTCTCCTAGTTTCCAAATTATGTGAAGTAAACTGGACTATACTTGGTTAAGTTTTGTTAGCCAAGACACTTTAAAAGATGAAAAGACCAGAAACCCCACTTGAGCAAAATAAATTTTAGTTTTTCCTTGAGCAACAGGGTTTAGGATATAGTGCGAAAGTATACTGCTCTCAGTTTTTGGGTTTTGTTGTGATCTTTTGCTTTTTGTTTCTTTCCTTAAACATTTTGAGAAAGTATTTTGGAGAACCTCATTTTACTTAAATTCTATTTTGTCCAGTTCTTCCTAATTGGCTTAAAAGTTTACTTATCATTTAGAGGGGTGATTAATTTAAAGTAGAACCAAGTTTCACCAGTAAGTGGCCTTTTAAATGGAATTTTAAACTGGAAAGGCACACTATTGCAAAATCATCATATTATCAAGTATAGTTTACTTGGCCTTAAAACTTGTCTGGTGTTCTCAGTTCAATCATCGTGTATTGAGAATCTTTAATGGTGATTTTAGAATGGTCTCATTCGTAGTTTTTTCTGAAGTACATTTTTAAAATATTTTTTCTTAACTAAATCTTTAAAATAATTTTCAATTTTTTAAATGTAATTATGATTTGATTGAAAATGGGAAATGTAAATGGAGGGTGATTGGTCTTTTAAAAACAAAACTTTAAGTTCCTTTAGTTCTTAGTTTCTATTATACATAAGTTTATTCCTGTTCCTTTTCAGGTCAGACGGGTTTGTTTTATCCCGTTTCTAATATAAAACCTTAGATTTTTGTCTTGCATAATTTTTTATTTTCTCCCAAAAAAATCCACTTAAGGGGATTTGATTAGGTTAATATGTTTTATACCAATGGCTTGTAGCAGTACAATAAACTAAATTGTGCATTCCACACTCACATTTTAGTCTTTTTCATTTTCTTTACATTTTTAGGGTTCTTACAACCTATATTCCATTTTTACCTTTTTATCTTCTCAGGTGAAGAAGAGACAGTGATAATCTTGAGGTTAGAAGTAATGAAATTTGGAAATTATGTGGGACTATTACATATCCTTAACAGCACTTATAAACTATTGGCCAGTTTTAAGTAGAGAACTAGTAGCTTTAGATTCGTTGTTGATTTCTTTTTCCTAAAGCTGGGGAAGGGGTCATTCATTTCTGTAATGTCATACTTACGTATAATAAGGAACAGGTAAATGTGGTGTTTTCTTCTGTTTTCATCTTGGGTTCTTGTTACAAATAAAAAGGACACTTAACATTAAGTATTAATCATTTGTGTTTTCAAAATGGCTTATAGCAAATACAGCTTCTGGGTTGTATTTACATTGTACATACAAGGGAAAGGTGCATTTGGGTTTGCTAAAAAGCTTTTAGGATTTTTTCATAAAGGATGGGTCTTTCTTTGTTTTCCCACTTATCTCTGTAATAGCCATTGATCAGTTTCCAAATAACTGGGGATCATTTAAAGATGCATTTCTGTTCCATTCTTTTTTTTTTTTTTGGTATCATTAATGTACAATTACATGAACAACATTATGGTTCCTAGACTTCCTCTTTTATCAAGTCCCCATCACATACCCCATTACAGTCACTGTCCATCAGCATAGTAAGATGTTATAGAATTCCTACTTGTCTTCTCTGTTTTATACTGCCTTCCCTGTACCCCACCCTCACCCCACATTATGTGTGCTAATAGTAATGCCCCTTTTTCCCCCTTATCCCTCCCTTCCCACCCCATCCTCCCCAGTCCCTTTCCCTTTGGTAACTTAGTCCATTCTTGGGTTCTGTGAGTCTGCTGCTGTTTTGTTCCTTCAGTTTTTGCTTTGTTCTTATACTCCACAGATGAGTGAAATCATCTGGTACTTGTCTTTCTCTGCCTGGCTTATTTCACTGAACATAATACCCTTTAGCTCCATCCATGTTGTTGCAAATGGTAGAATTTGTTTTCTTATGGCTGAATAATATTCCATTGTGTAAATGTATCACATCTTCTTTATCCATTCATCTACTGATGGACACTTAGGTTGCTTCCATTTCTTGGCTATTGTAAACAGTGCTGCAATAAACATAGGGGTGCATCTGTCTTTTTCAAACTGAGCTCCTGCATTCTTAGGGTAAATTCCTAGGAATGGAATTTCTGGGTTTTCTGTTCATTCTTTCTTTCCTTGCTTCTCTATAGATGATTGTTAAAAAAAAAATTACAGCAGAAAATGGTTTTAACATTTCTGAACATTATACCTATTAGCAGATTAAATGGAAGATGTCAATTGAGCTGCAGTTGGAAAAAAAATAGTATATGGTGCACAAAAGTAATCCCTAAGCTTTTGGAAGTTAAAACCACATCACACATTCTTTATGAACTGTGGTGGGTTGCTTCCCAAAAGGTCATTTGTAAACTGGTCATCTAGAACTCAGCACATTTGCATCGTTTGTTTAAGTGGAGACCTAGCAGGTATTACAAAAGACAAAAGATGTCTCTTATAATCCAGGATGGGTGAAAGTTTATTTTAGAGAAGTTATAAAAGGCCATACTGTTTATGTGGTGATTAGAAAGATTTTGCTCCCTTGTTAATGGCAGAATAACAAATCTTAAAAGTTTGGGATTTTTTTTGAGGAAAAGATTTGGGGATACATGTGAATCTTCTGGGCAAGTTAGTCCTGCCTGGGACATTAGCTATCCAGTGCCTTCCTGTGAGCTGTTCCAATTTTGCATAGTTGTTTAGCTTTTACTGCTACTGAACTGACACTTAGGTATTGTCACAGTGGCTTTCATGGCTGCCTGAGCCTGTGAGGATTGGGATACTGTTGCAGTTTTTGTCAGACTACTTGTGCATTCTTCTGATGCAGTTTTTCTAGTAAGTTTTATATTGTAAGTTACAGGAAAAACTTGGGCAACAGGAATAAAATCCTACATATAAATCATGAATATACTTAAGAAAGATTAATTTAGGTCAATAATATACTATAATACATTGCAAAACAAGAGTGCCAGCTGGTGTCCTCTTTGTCAGTTGATGAAATCTCTCTTAAAGTGTGGCAAAAATACAAGTTGTCAGGAACTCATACCAGGAGGTTTTGAGGGAAGAGGTATATGATTTTATAATTTCTCCCCTTTCCCAAAATTTAACCCAAAAATCTTTAAGTCATATTTTTTTAAGTTAGTGCCTCAGAAGCCAAATAATGATGAGTAATTTCCTGGAGCAAAAGAAGATTTTCCAGGGCTTGGGAAATCTTAAATATTGAAAAGAAGAGGGAAGGAATCAGCTGTTTTTTACTGTTTCTAGCACATTAGCTTTGAGAGAGTCAGCCAATGTAAGGCTGAGTGGATCCTCTTCTGAGTGCCCTTAGATATTAAGCAGATAAATATAACTTACTCTGTGACCTTGGGTATTATGCTCTTATATCTGCATGGTATTGTTAAAGTGTTGGCTTGTGATTATTCCCTAGCAAACAGTTAAAGGTATAATTTAAACTAGGAAAGTACATTAGAAGTAGTTGCCTTTGGTCAACTTTGTGATCCCATTGTGGAAGGAAAGTTCTTGGAAAAACATCAAATCATAAATTTCCCACGGGGAGATAGATATAGAGATGCCCAAGAAGAAATTAGACTTTGTTGTCAAGAGAAAGATTCTCTGCAACTTCGTAGTATATAAACTTAAGTATTTCTCATACTTCTTTTTAACTGTAATACATAGGATAAGGATATTTAGCTCAGGGATTGTAATTTTTAGAAGCTTATCTTTTCATGAAGTAAATCAATCACTTAACTGTGAAATTAAGTTCTATTAAAAGAGCTACATTTTCCTGTGTTTGTATGTTTACTACACATACATTTATGTACTGACGGTGCTCTATTAGCTGCAGGAAGGCCATGCCAGAATAGGAAACATTTTTAGGGGTTAGGTTTGTCTAGGATATAATGAGGAATTTGCTGTTTTCATCTTCTAAATAATTTTAAATTTATTGTAGAACCATTTTCTCTAGTGATAAGGATTAAAGCAATGGTAAAAAAATGATTTAAGAGCTCTCTTTCTGGAATTCACTTTACTTTTGAACACTATGAAGCTTCTTGTTAGTAGTAGGTAACATTTTTAAAACAGAACTCTTGATTTCCCTACTCATTCCTTCCATGGTCTTCTCCATCTCAGTAATACTTGCACCATTATTCCCCCAGGTGCTCAAGCCAAAAATCCAGGTGCCTTTCTTAATTTCTTTGCCTCTCTATCCCCCACATGTAACCTATCAGCCTAATTTTCCTTTACAAAAGATGTTAAGCCAGTTCTCACCTAATCTAGTCTGGCAGTGGCCTCTTCACTGATGTTCCTGCTTCCACTCTGGACATCCTGTAATCCATATAATAATAACTGGAGAAGCACAGTAGTTGTAGTTGCCTGTGGTCAACTCTGTCATCTCACTGTGGGAGGAAAGCTCTTGGAAAGACATCAAATCAACCTTAAGGCAAATCTAGAGATGCCCAGGCAGAAATCAGACAATCAGACAGTATTTTTGTGTGTGTGTGTGTATATTATTTTTTGTTTATTTTATTCTCCCATAAACATATTGGGTGTTAGTAGGTACTTAATAGTAAATTGTGTTTCATGGATAATTGCCTGCGAGTTTGCCTAGACAACTTAGATTCTTTAGCTAAATTCTAAAATGGTTCTCTAAAGTTTCTCCACAGAAAATTTTAGAAATCGTACTTCATTTGTAATTAAGCTGCCTAAACAATTTTGTGTTTTTAGTGATATTTGTTTTCAGAGGAGGCATTCTGAATATTTATGCAAAAGTTTTAAGTATCGTAATTAAAGAACACAGCTGAAGTAAAGTTTTAAAATTATAAACATCTAATTATTGTCCAGAACAGGAACTGTATTTATATGATGGAAACTTTTTAGTATACTTTTTAGACCAAGATGGAATTAAATAGTTCAGGGACATTTCCATTCAGTTTTTGAGGATGTGGTCTACTCGGATGACAATAATTCATTTGCCTTTTAATACTTTTAAATTTGGTACAGAAAAAGTAAATTTTTAAAGATGCACCATTAAGTATCTGAACTGAAAGGTCAGAATAACTGAAAGTTAGTTATGAAGGTGACTTTATAAACTTGTGTGATGTGAGCCAGACTTATTCAAATTCTACTTCATTATAGTTGAATATTTCTGCTACTTCGTTGCTTATTCCCACTAAAGGAATTGGAGTTTTTTATATTGTAAATTAGACATTTTCATTTTTATATACATCTTGAGTACATTTTTAGGTGGTCGTATCTTTTTCTAATCAATTTCTTAAGTAGTTGAAGTAGTAATCATTATTATGGTATCATATATATATTTGCATTTTAGTGAATTGGCTAATAGATTTAATTACTCTAGATTTGTATTAATTCACTTAGCTGCTACTTGAATCTTCTTAAACATAGTGGTGGCATCTTTCTAATCTAAAGAAACTGGTATATACTAGGTTTTGATGAGGTTTCCCTGTACCTTGTAGTATGTAGATATCTGTTGTACCTGAGCAATACTGAAAGTTCCAATTCTGTTGCCTGACTTAGTCAATTAGACCACATATTAAAAAACATTGCACCTGCAAAGTTGTCTGTAAGCAGCATAAGCCTGCTATTTTTTATAGAGTTCCAAGTTGCTTCTGTTGGAAAGAAAATATAAACATCTGTAAATTTTTTTTCTCTCTTTATAGAGTATATTCATTTTATAGTTTCTGTACTAAGTTACAAAGATTCTTTAGTAAAGCCCAGTTCTACTAGGATTCAGATTTGCCAAAGAAAACATCAGTTTTTCCTAATCGAAATCAGAGCTAAACAAGAAAAGTGGTTTATGTTCACAGTGACTATCCATATAATTGACTCTGCAAAGATTTATTCCACCATCTCTCCGATTCACCACCCTACCTTAAGGTGTAAGGCATTATTATTCCTTCTCTTTCAACTGAGCAAATACACATTATTCTTCCACTTGTTTTTTATTAGTAAGATGTTTTAACCACATTAAAATATAATAGTATTCAAATTATAATGAATACTCACTTTTTTCCTTAAAAAAAAAAACAAATTTTCAACAGTGACTTTTACCCAAATTTATGCAAGAAAAATTTGTGATAATACGTCTTCATAATTTTAACTGCATAAGTATTTGATGGTATACTGTATAGGCATTTATTTCCAATTTAGAGGTAATTTGAGAAAAATAACCACAAGGTAGGATTTCTTTCATCCACTGCTACTCCTGCTTTCCTAGTGTCAGTATGAAGCCTAGAAGGGAATCATTCTCACGGCCTCATTGTACAGATAAAGAAGTAGAGTCATGGGAAGTCATTGACTATTGACTTATCAAACATACCACATCTAGAAAGTAACAGGACCAAATCCTGCTTTCAGTTCTTTCTTTTTCTTTTTCCTTGTAGTAAGACTGTTCCCAAGTCGAACTGATTTGTATTTTTATTCCAAGAGGCCTTGTACTTGCTTAAATTAAGTCTGTTTATAAAATTTAATACTCTCCTGTCATTTGTAATTGAAGATAGTGAAATATTAAAAGTATTGTAATAAGTATGATACTTATTTTTTTTCTTTATAGCCAAGAAAAGAAGCTGATCAATAGCAGATAAGAGTAGTTTCTCTGGTTTTAAGTAATATCACGGCCTTTCTGGTGTGATTTATATTCCGTTCATCTGGTGTTTTCTGACTCAAGTGTTTCTCTTTCACATAGGTTACTCACTATAAACAATACCCACCCAACACAAGCAAAGTTTATTCCTATTTTGAATGCCGTGAAAAGAAGACAGAAGACTCCAAAATCAGGAGGGTGAAATTTGATGAAACAGTATTTTATGGGTTGCAGTACATTCTTAATAAGTACTTAAAAGGTATTATTTTTTCTAGTACATTTAAAACACTGCTTTTATGTAACATCATAATTTTTTTTCCTATATTGTTATATTCTATGATTTGAAGTAACTTTTTGAATAGTCTTATATTTACTTAGTTATTTTATATTAGCACTTTTGGAATTTTTTAGTTTGTTGAGTGCATTACATCTTAAAATTTGCTATATGTGTTTGGTGTTGTTAGTAGGAGAAAGATTTTCTGAAACTAAGTTTGGGAGTATGTTGAGAAATGTCAGTTTTCTGAGGTTAATCTGGTTTGTTAATAGACATAAATCATTAATTCAACATAAAGGGATCATTATTGACCTGGGAACTCATCTTGAATTGCAGTTGCAATTAAAATTAGAATATGGTTAGTCAGGTAGTTTTACCTTAAAGGTCTGTTTTTCAAAACTGCCTGTAACTGTGCACTTAGTTTCCAATGTATTTTAAAGCAGAAAAGTCCACCAAGTAATTTCTGTACTTTCTTATTTGAAAGTCCATTTCTGGCTGGTTTATAATAGTCTGATTAGGGCAAAACAATTCCCAAGGTTTTTACACATTTTGGAGAAGTTCGTCTAACCTTTCAAATAAAAATAATCTCAGGACGAAATACAGACAAAGTCAAATTTTATGCAGATATGTCAAACAGTTCAGATACGTCACATTCTTGAAAACCTACTTGGACAGCAAGAGCACTTCTTTGCAGCAAGATTATCCATGATATTTTAAATGAGTTTACTAGTGACCGTATATAGAAAAAGTTACCAAAGAATGATGTCACACTTCACTTCTACAGCTTAAAAACTTTATAAAATACTACTTTATTGTTAATTATAGCAAAAAAAATACTGATTGCCTATTTTAGGCCAACATTATTCTAAGTGTGTCATATGTCTTAACTCATTTAGTCCTCATAACCACCCAAAAATAGGTACTCTCTTATCACTATCCTCATTTTACAGATAAAGTTAAATAACATGTATTTGGGGGTCAAAAATTTAGTGATTGTGAAAATTACTGGATTATCAGCCCTGAAGACACCTTTATGAATAGAAGGTTCACCTAGAAAATCATTTGTATTGAAGGCTTATTACTCTCAAATTTGTAGAATATATAAATTAATATAAATAGAAAAATATCTTCCAATTAGAAGTTAATTTATTATTGTGATTTTTTTTTAAATACTATACATGTAATAATTTCTGCAAATCTTTTTCAAAAAGAAGTTAACATTTACGCTTTGAGTGGAAGTGCACATTCGTTTTCTGGTTCTGCTGTTGACTCTGGGTGAATCATTTAACCTCTCAGTTCTTAATTTTTTATCCATAGGATGGATGGAATAGCTAGAGACATTTATCCTATGATAACTCAGCAGTTCACCTGATGACTTTAGAAATGTGAACAGGAGATGTTTCTCCTTTTAGGTAAAGTAGTAACCAAAGAGAAAATCCAGGAAGCCAAAGAGATGTATAGAGAGCATTTCCAAGATAATGTCTTTAATGAAAAGGGATGGAACTACATTCTTGAGGTAAAAAATGGTTTCATGTTTTCATCTATTTTGGTTTTGCTTTTATTTCAGAATTTCTTGCAAAGGAATTTGAATAGAGATTAAGCTATAATTATAAGTCTTCTCTGTCTATGACCTAAATATAATGGCTATTTTAGAGAGTCTTGTGAAAAGTTAAGGGTAACATTTAATTTTTTTTTCTCACGGCCAATCATTTGTATCTAGAATCTATAGCAGGTCTAAGTTATTTGTTGTAATATAAATGAATTATAATTTAAGTACCTAGAATTTTTCAGAAAGGTGACTTAATTCTTTCTTTAAAAATACCCTTTGATTGGGAAAGGGCATCGTTACTTGGCAATTTCAAAATGTATATCTATTTTCTTGACTGTAGATTATCTTAGAAAATAGATGCTGTGAGTCTGTCATAACACAATAATTTTATTAAATTTCCCTTACTGATGAGTTAGAATGGTTTGGTACAGGTCCATGAAAGCGACTTTTATTCTTTGTTGTGCTGTAATACTCATATCTACCATGTTTGGATCCATTACTTAACTTTGGGGCATTGGAAGACACGGGAATTGAATTATAAGAATTGAATGTTCTCTACTGGTTTTTCTTTATTACAAAGATAGGTTGGGAATGGGATCTTTTGGCATCTTATCATGTTGTTAGTGAATTTATTTAAAATGAATGTCTTTTCCATCATAGACTACCAAACACAAAATACTTAGACATAGTTTAACTTTCATGCCTATATTGTTTTATTGAGTTTTACTATTTGGTACTTAATGGATCTTTGAAGAAGTCTGGTAAGCATTCTGTGCTGTAGTTTTCCCATATCTTCAGTAAGGTCAATAAAATCTGTTGGCTAATTCCTGCACTTACCCCATTTGATTTGTTGTGAGCATAATGGTAATAGATAAGTTAGGTGCTGTGCTTATTAATATAATATCCAGTGGCCAAGGTGATAAATCTTTCGATTTTATGTTCAGAGAGTCAGGGATTTATAGGTTCTCTAGAGATGATCTTGTCTAACCTAATTTTTAAGCAGTGAGTCTAATACCTAGAGATAATGAGTGATTTGCCCAGGGTCTCCTACCTGCTTTTGAATCCAGGCTGGGGCTCTTCTAAAGGCAGTATTCTTTATGCTGTACCGTGGGGCTTCCAGTGCTTGACATTAAACAGATATTTCTATTATCTAGTTATCTGTCCCAAATCATCTAAATAAACTGAGGATTTCTGAAACTTGCCTTCTGAAAGTTAGCTACATCTTTTAACTTTAAAAAAGGGGAGGCATCGTTAATTACCTAGTAACATACCATGTGGCAAATATATCATTTCAGCCTAGTTTGGAGAAAATTGTTGAACGGGGATATTGATTGCCAAAGCTCTAGGAAGTGTACTTAATGGTCTACTACCTGAATAAAGAGAAAACCTATTTAAGGTTCTATCAGCAGGAAGATTTGTTCTCTCCTTGTCTTTTTTTCGTTATTGTTATTATTTTGTTTCTGTTTTGTTCTTTAATAGCAGTCCCTCTTTTTTATCTTTTAACCTTTAGCCTTTCTTTTAAGAAAATGAATTATTTAGAAGAAGGATAGAGTTCTTGGAATACTGTTGGAATAAACCCTTTTCTTTTTGAAAGAAAATAAACAACTTTTTTGTTTTGATCTGTTTGAAATTATCTGTATGTTTTAGTGACAGATGTTCTTAGAAGCATGTTGACAAAGTTTAAAATTAATATCAGTGCCTAAACTATTAATCATTTTAGCTAATTTTATTTCGGGAGGATTAGCTTATTCTGACTAGATTACTAGCACTGTAATCTCCAGTTGTAGTTCTATGACAGTAAGTTTAGCATCTTTAAAATTAAAAAAAGAACCTTATTAAAACTCTAACTGCATATCATCTGTTGAGTGAATAAATTTATTACTGTTTTTCCAGAAATATGATGGGCATCTTCCAATAGAAATAAAAGCTGTTCCGGAAGGCTCTGTCATTCCCCGAGGAAATGTTCTCTTCACAGTGGAAAACACAGATCCGGAGTGCTACTGGCTTACAAATTGGATTGAGGTGAATTGTTTAATTTTGTTTTTAATTCTTAGTTAACATTCACTGAAGATGTAAAAACCATTCCACTGGGATTCTAGTTTAAAAATTGATAATGATGGTAAACTATGTAATCTCCTACAATAAACTAAACCTTTCCAGGCCTCAGTTTCCTCATCTATGAAGTGATGGTTGCACTAAATCTTTAAGGTTCCTACCAGTGAAATTTAATGTTCTGAGATTTTATCTAAATCAGATGATTAAAATTACTGTTAAAGCTCAGTTGGTTTCCATCTTGTTTTAATCTTGAATGTATGTTATCATAGAAAAAAATCAGAAAAACAGCAGCTTTAGTAACAACGTTTTATGAATATTCTGTTCCAGTTAGACTAAAGGAATTCTGTTCACATTTTTAAAACTGCTTTCTTCATCCTTACATAATCAGTTTAGGGCCTAGGCTCTACCATGTGCTATCTCTATCTAAATACATTCAGAATTTGCTGGTCTATTATTTAATTTCTAAGCACCAAAGGGGGGAGGGTATTACAGACTATTAGTTTCTATTACAAGGTTTTTTATTTTCCTTTCATCAGCAGCTTCACTTAGATTTTATGTGAACGAGGAAATATCCTAGAAAATGACTTATAAAAATACCACCTTAGTATCTGAGAGGTGTCTACAAACTCTAGAAAAAATTTAGAAAACTTAGTCACAAGAATATGTTTGAAATACATTTTTGCTAAGTTGACAGGAAATGTAACACTTTCTTAAAATTTCTCCTCATGGGCCATCAACTAATAATAGGCTAATAGTCTCAAGAAAAATGTACAATTATCTAAAAGATTTTAAATAGTTTACTGCTGTGTCCTGAAACTTTGAGTTAATGTGAACTTAAAAAAAAGAGAATGGATCTTACTAGTTTTGTACAGTTGTTACAGTGTTTGTACTGGAAATGTTTTGAAGGGATGCTATAATAAAAACACAAGAGTAGAATTCTTAATCACATCACCTAGCCTATCCTTTCTACCTTCAATGCCAAAAGATCCTAAACTGAAAAATATTATTTTGGAAGTCGTCATCTATCAGTAACCTTTTTCACCTTTTTTTTTTTTCCTGACTGAGGGTTTAGTCAATAAGTCCTCTTCCCTTGTGTCCATTTGAATTTCTATAAAGTGGATATTATGTACATAGAGACCTAGTTCCCAGTCTCCCTTCCTTCATGTGTGTTTTTCTTTAATTTCTTCAGAAAGTAAAAAAATGTGAGCCTTAAAAAGAGAAAAAGAAACTGTTTTAATAATTATTTTGGTGTATTTGACTAAAACACCATAAAATTTTTCAAAAATGTCCATTGGAATTTGAAGGGAAAAAGGTACATAGATCCTTGTTTTTGTTTGTTAGCACCGGAAACAAAACAGCAAATTTACCTTCTTTTCTACTAATACATATTATTTTAAATAATTTCAGTCCTAGATAGGTATTTTTATCCCAAGACACAAAATTAATGGTCTTACACAATCCCTTATTATAGTTTCTGATAGACCCTGTTTTATAAAAAATTGTTTACTCTAAATACAAGGTCTCCAGAAGAGACTTCTTCATAGTAACTTTGAATCCTTGGTGGGTTTTTGTGTGGGGTTAGAGAAGGTTAATTCTACTCTTATCCATTCCCAACACAAGTTTACCCTTGTTTATGATAAATGTTACCAAATTCAGAAAACCTGTTATTTACAAACTTGAAGGCGTTCTTCAGGCAATCTTTGATTTTAAACATTTTTAATAATAGTACTAAATAGTATTCCTTCCAATACCCTCTCCCAGTGTATGTCTGAAGTTCTTAATAACATTCTTTGACTGTTAATTTTAGCCATACACTGTATTTTAAAACCCACTGTAATTATTGAATTGTTTTATCAATTTCAATATTGGTGCTAGAAAAAAACCTTAGTCCTTAAGTCAGATTTCAGAACATGTTTCAGAAGACTGAGGGTTCTGCAGAGCTGTCTCAGACTTATGAAGAGGTTGAGGAAGGAGCATATTGAGCTAAAGTTAACCTTCTGTTCCAATGAAGAAATAGAACAAAACTTTCTTGCTGCTAAAAAGAAAAGATGTGCATTCATAAAGCTAAATCACTTGCCTTCTCTGCAAAGTATACTAAAGGTGAGATGATTCAGGAACAGATAATAGATCTGCTGTATTTTCATTTTGTTTTCTATTATCATAACAGCTTGGGGATGCAAAACTCTTTTGAACTGCTGTACAGTTGAATTGTCTAATTGGTATTCCCAGTAGTATGGAAGTCCAAGACATACCTCCAGAGAAAGCTAGGATTTTCCTCCAAAAGAACTCAGTATTTTATGTACTAATACTTATGGTTAATTTTATTATTCAGACTATTCTTGTTCAGTCCTGGTATCCGATTACAGTGGCCACAAATTCTAGAGAACAGAAGAAAATATTGGCCAAATATTTGTTAGAAACCTCTGGTAACTTAGATGGTTTGGAATTCAAGTTACATGACTTTGGCTACAGAGGAGTCTCTTCTCAAGAGGTAAGAAACTCAAGAGGTAAGAAAATGAGGTTTGCCTTGGAACCTCATTTAATGAAATGCAGATTGTTAGTTAGAATGCCATTATAAACTTTTTGGGAACTTTCTGGACTTGAGTTTGGTTCTAAATAGGCCACATTTTGAAATTCCAGAGATTCAGTCAACAGATTCATGTTAAGTACCTATTGTGTGTCAGCCTTTGTTCAAAGTATGTATAATAGTGCCTTCAACAAATGTCCCTAACCTTTATACATTGGATGGATGGGCATACAGATATAATAAATATAGCAGATATCAGATAATACTACAGAGAAGCACAAGGCAGAGTAAGGGAAAGAGAGTGATGGGAAATGAGGGTGGGTCACTATTAAATAGGTTTCTTTTGAGCAGGTAACATTAAATCCTTAAATATTTAAGAAAAACTGAATCTGTCGTAAGAACTATAATTTCTTATAATAGTTAAATATCTCTCAAAGACAATTCCTTTGGGAGCTATGCTTTATACCTCAAGTATGGGTCTTTCTCTATTTTGGATTTTGGTTTATGATTTATTTTCCAGACTGCTGGCATAGGAGGGTCTGCTCACTTGGTTAACTTCAAAGGCACAGACACAGTAGCAGGAATTGCTTTAATTAAAAAATACTATGGAACAAAAGATCCTATTGCAGGTTATTCTGTTCCAGCGGCAGAACACAGGTAAAATTCTATCTTCTTCCTCCTGTTATCTAAACATTTGTTTTGTAGAACTAAGTTTTTTCACTCCTGTGCTTGTAATTCAGTGATGTTTTATTTAACTGTGGAGCCAGATACTATGGTACATCTTAAGAATTTAGGCAATACGAATTCAGTATTCACACTTTGTATAAAAGTAGAGAACTTGTAACCATACTAAAAAAAAAATTAAGAGCTTTTTTCAGCTCTTATATTGCCATATAGGTTTTATTTTAAAGACTTTTTCAACTGTTCTATTGCCATATGCAGATAGGTTTTATTTGTTAAGTCTAGAAGTATTCACTATAAAACCTGGTCACTTTACCTTTCCCTGCTCTTCTACATGACCTCACCTGTCTTTGCCTTGGAAATTGTCACCTAGACCCAGTACTTTCAAGTGTAGAAGAGCGAATGAGCCCTTTGATGGAAGGAGTAGAATTCAGTTTCTTGTTATGCTTCCTTATCTGATAACACTAAGCCATCTCAAGTTAAACTGGCAGACAGTTATAATCCAGGCTGCTGCTGCTCTGGTCCTAGAGTCAACTTTAAAAGTTAGTGGAGTTTCATGAATTAATGCCAAACCTTATTTCTGGTGCTTTTACCAAAAATTATTTACTATAATCAGTTTGGGAAGGTTTAGGTTCATACTTGAATATCGCAGGGTACAAGAGCCATCGGTGAGTTGTATAAAACTGAGCTTTTATGCAAGGCAATGTACTGGGCGCTACAGAAACATAAAGATATAGAAAAACTTATATCTTCAGTATAAACAATACACTAGTAACATTTTGCTTTATTGATGAAGCACTTTAAAAGAGCTATGAAGTATTCTAGTGGTACAAGGGAAGGAAAGGAAGGATGATATTCCACTGGCAGGACCAAGAAAGACGTATGTAGGTGGTATGTGAAGTCTTGACCTCTTGAATGAATGGTAAAATGTAAAGACAGACAATGGGGGATCATTTGTTCTCTGAGTAAATATTAAATGCATGCCTACCATATGTCAAGCATTTCCCTGAAAGAACAAGAATGAGAGTGTGAATATGTGTAGGGAATAAAGGCTGAAACAGATTTTACAGAGAATATAGGGTAGACAGATTAGTAAAGGCCCCCAAATTGATTTTGACATTGAATTTTAACTGCACATCATGCTAGGTTATCCGATTCCATTTTTTAGTGGAAGTGGGCATTGAAGTTTTTGAGCAAAGAAGTGATGTCATCAGAGAAGTATTTTAGGAAGGTCATTTTGATGGGAGATCATGAATTGAAAAAAAGAAACAAGTTAGACTATAGGAAGCTACTGAACAGTTTTGAGATATTATCAGGTTCAGAACTAAGTGACTGAATGGAAAGAAGTAGATAAACATGAGCAATGGCTTGAGAGACAAAATTGCTAGATTTTGATGATCTGAGTTGGGGCTTTGAAAAGAGTAGAAGCAGCTAATGTTTACGAGCATTGCTGTTACTGGAAGTGCCTTATTGAATACTTTCACACTCAGAAATAGTGAAAGTGGGAAAAAAGCAAGGGTGTCATCACAGATAAAGGTTCTAGAAGTATTGTATTTTTATTTTGGACTTAGATGTATATATGTGTTTTAAAAACCTAATGCATACAGGGGTACCAGAAGAAGAGAGAGAAAAGGGGATAGAAAGTGTATTTGAAGAAATAATTGCTGAAAAATTCCCCAAACTGAGGGAGGAAATAGTCGCTCAGACCACAGAAGCACACAGAACTCCCAATAGAAGGGACCCAAGGAGGACAACATCAAGACACATAATCATTAAAATGGCAAAGAGCAAGGACAAGGACAGTTTTAAAGGCAGCTAGAGAGAGGAAAAAGGTCACCTACAAAGGAAAACACAACAGAAACCTTACAGGCCAGAAGAGGATGGCATGATACATTCAATGCAATGAAACAGAAGGGCCTCTAACCAAGGATACTGTATCCAGCACGATTATCATTTAAATATGAAGGAGGGATTAAACAATTCCCAGACAAGCAAAAGTTGAGGGAATTTCCCTCCCACAAACCACTTCTACAGGGTATTTTAGAGGGACTGCACTAAATGGGAGCACTCCTAAAGCTAAATAGATGTCAACAGAGAAAATAAAATCACAGCAAAGAAAGCAGACTAGCCAAATACTAACNCCTAAAAAGAGCACAGAACAAAACACACAACATATGAAGAATGGAGGAGGAGGAATAAGAAGGGAGAGATGAAAAGATTCTTCAGACAGTGTATATAACAGCTCAATAAGCGAGCTAAGTTAGGCAGTAAGATACTAAAGAAGCTAACCTTGAACCTTTGGTAACCACGAATCTAAAGCCTGCAATGGCAATAAGTACATATCTTTCAATAATCACCCTAAATGTAAATGGACTGAATGCACCAATCAAAAGACACAGAGTAATAGAATGGATAAAAAAGCAAGACCCATCTATATGCTGCTTACAAGAGAGTCACCTCAAACCCAAAGACATGCACAGACTAAAAGTCAAGAGATGGAAAAAGATATTTCATGCAAACAAGAGGGAAAAAAAAGCAGGTGTTGTAGGACTTGTATCAGACAAAATAGACTTCAAAACAAAGAAAGTAACGAGATAAAGAAGGACACTACATAATGATAAAAGGGCTCAGTCCAACAAGAGGATATAACCATTATAAATATATATGCACCCAATACAAGAGCACCAGCATATGTGAAACAAATACTAACAGAATTAAAAGAGGAAATAGAATGCAGTGCATTCATTTTGGGAGACTTCAACACACTACTCACTCCAATGGATAGATCCACCAGACAGAAAATAAGTAAGGACACAGAGGCACTGAACAACACACTAGAACAGATGGACCTAATAGACATCTATAGAACTCTACACCCAAAAACAACAGGATACACATACTTCTCAAGTGCACATGGAATGTTCTCCAGAATAGACCATATACTAGGCCACAAAAAGAGCCTCAGTAAATTCAGAAAGATTGAAATCCTACCAACCAACTTTTTGGACCACAAAGGTATAAAACTAGATATAAATTGTACAGAGAAAGCAAAAAGGCTCACAAACACATGGAGGCTTAACAACACGCTCCTAAATAGTCAGTGGATCAACGACCAAATTAAAATGGAGATCCAGCAATATATGGAAATAAATGACAACAACAACACAAAGCCCCAACTTATGTGGGATGCAGCAAAAGCAGTCTTAAGAGGAAAGTATATAGCAATCCAGGCATATTTAAAGAAGGAAGAACAACCCCAAATGAATAAAGTCACAATTATTGAAATTGGAAAAAGAAGAACCAATGAGGCCTAAAGTCAGCAGAAGGAAGGACATAATAAAGATCAAAGAAGAAATAAATAAAATTGAGCAGAATAAAATAGTAGAAAAAATCAATGAAACCAAGAGCTGGTTCTTTAAGAAAATAAACAAAATAGATAAGCCTCTAGCCAGACTTACTAAGAGAAAAAGAGAATCAACACACATCAACAGAATCGGAAACGAGAAAGGAAACATCACGACGGACCCCACAGAAATACAAAGAATTATTGGAGAATACTATGAAAACCTATTGCCAACAAGCTGGAAAACCTAGAAAAAATGGACAACTTCCTAGAAAAATACAACCTTATAAGATTGACCAAGGAAGAAACAGAAAATCTAAACAGACCAATTACCAACAATGAAATTGAAGTGGTAATCAAAAAACTACCCAAGAACAAAACCCCCCGGGCCAGATGAATTTACCTCGGAATTTTATTAGACATATAGAGAAGACATAATACCCATTCTCCTTAAAGTTTTCCAAAAAATAAAAGAGGAGGGAATACTCCCAAACTCATTCTATGAAGCCAATATCACCCTAATACGAAAACCAGGCAAAGACCCCACCAAAAAAGAAAACTACAGACCAATATCCCTGATGAACATAGATGCAGAAATACTCAACAAAATATTAGCAAACCAAATACAAAAATACATCAAGAGGATCATACACTATGACCAAGTGTGGGATTCATCCCAGGGATGCAACAACATTCGAAAGTCCATCAACATCATCCACCACATCAACAAAAAGGACAAAAACCACATGATCATCTCCATAGATGCTGAAAAAGCATTCGACAAAATTCAACATCGATTCATGATAAAAACTCTCAACAAAATGGGTATAGAGGGCAAGTACCTCAACATAATAAAGGCCATATATGATAAACCCACAGCCAACATCATACTGAACAGCAAGAAGCTGAAAGCTTTTCCTCTGAGATCGAGAACAAGACAGGGATGCCCACTCTCCCCACTGTTGTTTAACATAGTACTGGAGGTCCTAGCCATGGCAATTAGACAAAACAAAGAAATACAAGGAATCCAGATTAGTAAAGAAGTCAAACTGTCACTATTTGCAGATGACATAATATTGTACATAAAAACGCCCTAAAGACTTCACTTCAATACTACTAAAACTAATATCGGAATTCAGCAAAGTTTCAGGATACAAAATTAACATAGAAATCTGTGGCTTTCCTATACACTAGCAATGAACTAACAGAAAGAGAAATCAGAAAAACAATGCCATTCACAATTGCATCAAAAAGAAAATACCTAGGAATAAACCTAACAAAGGAAGTGAAAGACCTATACCTTGAAAACTATAAGACACTCTTAAGAGAAATTAAAGAGGACACAAACAAATGGGAACTCATCCCATGCTCTTGGCTAGGAAGAATTAATATCGTCAAAATGGCCATCCTGCCCACAGCAATATACAGATTCGATGCAATCCCTATCAAATTACCAGCAGCATTTTTAAATGAACTGGAACAAATAGTTCAAAAATTCATATGGAAATACCAAAGACCCCAAATAGCCAAAGCAATTCTGAGAAGGAAGAGTAAAGTGGGGGGGGGGGATTATGCTCCCCAACTTCAAGCTCTACTACAAAGCCACTGTAATCAAGACAATTTGGTACTGGCACAAGAACAGACCCATAGATCAATGGAGCAAAAGAGAGAGCCCAGATATTAACCCACACATATATGGCCAATTAATATATGCTAAAGGAGCCATGAATTTACAAGGGGGAAATGGTAGCCTCCTACAGCTGGTATTGGCAAAATTGGACAGCTGCATTTAAGAGAATGAAACTGGATTACTGTCTGACTCCATACACAAAAGTAAACTCAAAATGGATCAAAGACCTGAATGTGTAAGTCATGAAACCATAAAACTCTCAGAAGAAAACATAGGCAAAACTCTTGAATATAAACATGAGCAACTTTTTCATGAACATACCTCCTCGGGCAAAGGAAAGAAAAGCAAAAATGAACTAGTAGGACTACGTCAAACTAAAAAGCTTCTGTACAGCAAAGGATACCAGTAGAACAAAAAGGCATCCTACAATATAGTGGAATATATTTATAAATGACATATCCAATAAGGGGTTGACATCCAAAATATATCCAAAGCTATCGCACCTCAACAACCAAAAAGCAAATAACCTGATTTAAAAAAAGGGAAAAGGATCTGAATAAATACTTCTCCAAAGAAGAAATTCATATGGCCAACAGGCACATGAAAAGATGCTTTACATGCTAATCATGAGAAAAATGAAAATTATAACCGCAGTGAGATATCACCTCACACCAGTTAGGATGGCCAACATCCAAAAGACAAAAACAGCAAATGCTGGCGAGGATGTGGAGAAAGGGGAGCCCTCCTACACTGCTGGTGGGAATGTAAACTAGTTCAACCATTGTGGAAAGCAATATGGAGGTTCCTCAAAAAACTAAAAATAAAATTCTATTTGACCCAGCAATTCCACTTCTAGGAATTTACCCTAAGAATGCAGCAGCCCAGTTTGAAAAAGACAGATGCACCCCTATGTTTATCACAGCAGTGTTTACAATAGCCAAGAAATGGAAAGAACCTAAGTGTCTATCAGTAGATTAATGGATAAAGAAGAGGTGGTACTATACACAATGGAATATTATTCAGCCATAAGAAGAAAACAAATCTTATCATGTGCAAGAACATGGATGGAGCTTAAGGGTATTATGCTCAGTGGAATAAGCCAGGCGGAGAAAGACGAGTACCAAATGATTTCACTCATATGTGGTGTATAACAACAAAGCAAAAGCTGAAAGAACAAAACAGCAGCAGACTCAGAACCGAAGAATAGACTAACAGTTAACAAAGGGAAAGGGACTGGGGAGGATGGGTAGGAAGGGAGGGATAAGAGGATTAAGGGGCATTATGATTAACACACATAGTGTAGGGGGACGCACAGGGAAGGCAGTATAGCACAGAGAAGAGAAGAAGTGACTGTAGACTCTTACTATGCTGATGGACAGTGACTGTAATGTGGTACATGGTGGTGACTTGATAATGGGAATGTAGAAACAATGTTGCTCATGTGAACTCTGAACATAAGATTGTATATCAGTGATACCTTAATAAAAAAAAAAGCAAGTGTGTGAGGAGGGACACATTGAAAGGAAGAGAGGGACAATTCATATAGGAATTATCCACTTGAGATAGAAAAAAGAAATACTGGAAACTTCATCTACTAGAGTGCCAGGTCTAAGGTTTTACCTTTAAGCATCTTGAGTGTCTGTTCTTGGTGTGTGAATATGATTTAAACAAATATCAAACGGTATGTCATATCAAGAAAGAGCAGTGATCATTATTGAAGGATCTATGAAAAAGGAAAAATTATATAGATTTTATTTATTTTACAGTACCACCAATTAAACTTCTCTGTCAATGAATGAACATTTAATTTCAAAATTATTATTACATGTCATTAAAATATTTATATTTCATTTGAAAAAATAAATGAATAGGTAGTCTGAGTTTAGATTATTTTTCCATTATTTAACATAGGAAATGGGGTAGAGGCAAAGACTAGAAATAGGGAGGAGGAAAGTTGCTTGGCATGAGGAAACAGTAACAATTTTCAAATTTATTATTAAATTCTATTTAAGAATTTTTTTAATGATTTATTTTATATAACCAACAAGTACTCTTTATATATTATTAATCTATTAAGACGAACCATTATTGAGGACACTGTAAAAATCACTATAACCATCCTTGCCTAATAGAAGCTCTCAACACTGTGCTTCCCATCTTAATTATGTTTTGCTCAAATTAAATATTAAAATTCTTATTCCATGGGCATATATTAATTAGTGGTGGATAATCTATAAATGAAATAAATGACTGTTAATGGCCATTTAAAGATTCATCAGGTAAAGAGTTGACTATGTGTATGTATGGTATAATATAAATAACTGCCTCAGTAATTGCCTTAATGTGTAACATTTCAAAAGGTAAAAAAGAGAAAGTATATGTCCCTGCTATTATTGGTATATGGTTTTAAAAATTCACAGAAAGGAGCCAAGTTCTTGGATTGCGTAGCAAAATAGAGGAGTATGTCTGTGTTCTGATGTCCTGGCATTCAGCAAGTGCTCTTTAGCTCACTGACTTAAGTGGGTAGCTGCAGAAATAACCCACTCCCCACCCCCACCAAAAAAAGCTGGTTTATAGTTGGTTGAATATGACTTCAGATCTCAAATAACTGTTGAAGAGGAGTAATATTGCTTCTATTCTAGTCTTTAAAAAAATTGTCCAAGGGGAGGTTTGGCCCAAACATTCAGCAAACCTTACATTGTGTTTTCTTTAAACTAAATCAGTCACCTTCTCTGCAGTGTTGACAGAAAACATGAGATACAATTTAGAAACAGCTAATGTGTCAGCCTAAGTAAATCTGTTTTTTCATTTTGTTTACTAGTACCGTAACAGCTTGGGGGAAAGACCATGAAAAAGATGCTTTTGAACATGTAGTAACACAGTTTTCTTCAGTGCCTGTATCTGTGGTCAGCGATAGCTACGACATTTTTAATGCCTGTGAGAAAATATGGGGTGAAGATCTAAGACATTTAATACTATCAAGAAGTACAGCGGCACCACTAATAATCAGACCTGATTCTGGAAATCCTCTTGACACTGTATTAAAGGTAAATTTTAATATATAACATGATTATTAAAATGCCTGTAGATAAGCTGCATCAGTGCTACTTGTAATTTCATTCATGCACACCTATTTCAGAATGGTCTAGACCACTCCCCTTATTGTGGAGTTGCAGCCCAGAGAGAGTAATAGATTTGCCCAAGGTCACACATTAATAACAGAGAAATGATACCCAGAATTACAGTTACTTAAAAACTGTTAAATGGACAGTTAAGTACCGATACTTTTTCTGCTTACCTCCAAAATTAATAACATTGCCATTTTAACCAATTCTGTGATTTGGTTCCAAGTTTGTGGTTGGTTGGTTTTATCACAAATCATTTTTATACCTTTGAAGTTTTTAGTGTAAAAGAAGTATGTACAAGGTGATGAGGAATAAAAATAATTCAAGTAGTGATTCTTTAGAGATTTTTTTTTGATCCTCGGTATAGCATGGTTACTTTTTTTCAGTGGTTGGGACTTAGTTTGCTTTCTTTGAAAAACACTAAGAAGTGCAATAAACTACACCTTAAGAAAAGGAGATATAGAATCAAGGAGGTCTTCTGTTCTATTAACTAATAGGCCAATATGAAGTTCTTTTCATAACCTGAAATATTAACAGATTTGGTTTTAACAAACGATAGGTTTGTTTTTCCTCTTGCCTAATAAAATTGAACAGACCTAATTTTGAATAAACTGAGTCTCAGTATGGAATTTTCTCATTACTAAAATCTTTAAATTTATTTATTTAGGAAAAGCGAGTGATTGTTGTGGGGGGAAATATGTCCAGTAGGTCCTGTATCTCTTAGCAAGTTTTCTGAGAAATTTTAAATCAGGGTTTAGGTATTTCAGCTGATGTAAAACTTTTACTTGTTAATAATGAGTGGGATGATTTGCATATTATGCAGTTTGGCTTTTAAAACGGGTGTCATGTTTAAGTGAAGAGAGCTTCAGGAAAACTATGAGTTATATGTGCTTCATTTCCAGCATTGCGTATCATAATTACTCTGAACTTGTAATTAAAATGGGAGTTATATTTGAGTTAGATAATTAAAACCAAAAGAAACAAATTATTGGCACATGCAGAATAAATCTAAATCATAAGTGTACTCCTAAGTTCGTTAAATGATCCTTAAAATAGTGTATTTACTCTTTTAATCTATTAATGTTAAAGATTTTTTCCAAATCTGTGTAATTTGAAAGATATGAGGGAAAAGCTTATTGATTGACTTGATAGAAGATAGCATGCTTGTTTCTAACATAATCAAACATAATTGAGGCTAAATTTTAGAAGGCTTAAAATGGTTGCCTCTTTTGTTATAAAGTTTTTAAGTAATAGGATTACTTTTTGATACTTTTTTAACTTTGGAAAACTTTTACACTTTTTTCTGTTTTGGTTATTTTGTGTTGGGTATGTATTTTTCCATACAGGTTTTGGATATTTTAGGTAAGAAGTTCCCTGTTACTGAGAACTCACAGGGCTACAAGTTGCTGCCTCCTTATCTTAGAATTATTCAAGGAGATGGAGTAGATATTAATACCTTACAAGAGGTATGTGTTTTATATTTAAAGTTCCAGTAAGGTGGTCTTTATAATTAAGCTCCATTTTACTAGTTTGATAAACAACACATTAATAATTTAAGTACATTTGTGATTCTTTTTGTGTTTAAAATTATGTATGTCCTTTCTGTTAATTTCCTAAAGTTTATAAACAATAGTAACTTAAAGTGTAGAAGCACCAGGCAGACCACACTTATTGTTCCCAGTTGTCATGGACCACTCTGAATGATGAGCCTGAAGAAGTGTCACTATGAAACAAAAAAATGCCAGTCAAGGAATATTCCTTCTATATGAAACAAAAACTCTTGACACTGCTCAAATAGGTCTCAGTTTTATTAGAATAGCTATGCTTTAACAGTGTGAAACTTGAATAGTATTAATATGTGCTTTTTCTAAGATTATAGAATGGTTGGCCACCTCTTCTAATTAAAGCATTGACTCATCACTGTTATTGTTACATTTAGCCAAATAGTACATGATATTTTCTTTAAACTTTAACCTTTTTTGTTTTCCAGATAAGTTTCTAAAGAGCTATAATTTCATTTTAACTAATATCTTATATAACAAATGTAGACTGTCTACTCTTATAACCACTGACATTTTAATGTATACCAGTCTCAGATGGTATCTACTGTATAACACAAGTTGCCAAAGATTTTTCTGTTTGAGAGAGTTTGGTGTGGTTAGAGTAAGGGTCAGTACCCAAATTATAAAAGTTTGTTTTCCAAAGATGTGTTTAAAAGTAAGAATTATTGTGAATAACAAAAAGTATTTCTGTGTTGATAAGCATTTAGAAACCAAAATGAGGTGTCTGAGTAGATCACTTGCAATAACAAAATGAGGTTTCTTCTATCAACTCTTCCTAACTGCCTTACTAGAAAAATTGGAAACTCCCCCATACCCTTCTAAGACATTTGGTTTTGGAACATGAGGGGCTTTCATGTGAAAAGGAAGGAAGGAATAGAATAAAAGTCTGCAGTGAGGAAGAGGAGGACCAGAGTATAGAAATTCAGATGAAATATTTAATTGCTATCATCTCCTTAGCTTGAGTGAATTAAAGGTTTTTTTTCCCTTGGTATCAGTTAAGAACTACTACCCACCCCTACCTACATTTTAGGCAGTGTAGCAGGTACCTTCACACAACATAATCAATCCCCTTTCAAGTGAAGAAACGGGCAGGGTGCTGTACCGATTTCAGAAAATCCATCAGCTTGTTGCTCTTGAAGGTTGGGTTATTCAATCAGGTATTTGAACTTGCCTTTAAAACCCAAAGCTGTTCCACTTTCTTTTTCTTTTTTAAAATAAATTTTAAGGATGCGTATGCATTTTTAAAGTTGAGAATCAGCCCAAAATTTGAGGTTTTGTGTTTTTTTTTTAACTCTGTGAACAAGAAGTTCAATATTGAGACAGATAGATACTGGCATTGGTGAAACCTTAAACAGAATGGTCAGAGAATGGTTTTTGTTAATGCAGATGTGTTGGTTTACCGAAAGGGTAATACCTACGTTCTTCATAGTAGAGGTGGGTCAAGGAAGTTTTTAAAAGCAGGAGAAAGAATTCATATAGCAATTTTGCTTTACACACAGACTAAATTAGATGCCCTAATTTTACGAAATGGGAAGTCTGTTCATTTTCAAACAATTGAATCATCTCATGGACTGTCAGTCTCACTCTTGGACTGTCAGCTATACACAGTCAGTCTTTCTTGTGACACATCAGGAAATTTATAGTGTAACCCCACTCTAGGTTTTTGTGTACCAAAATGAATATGCCTATCTAGGAAAAGAGGCAAAAATCTCTTTGTGTTGGACAAAACACAGAAATGTCTATCTTTGTATTTGTATCTCAGTTAGGGATTCAGTCATCTTGATTATCATTGAAACCTCCCCCTTTGGGTTGTTTGTTAATGACATTAAAATGGTATCAAATTCTCAAAATTGGCAAGAAAATTTCTTTTCAAGTTAAGTCCCACATACCGTAAACATTTTTCTTATTCTTTAGCTGTCTGTTCTTTTCCTGGAACCCTTTACCTTTCTACAAAATTTTTCGCAGTCCTCAAAAATTTGATTCTGAGACTTGTTAGAAGACATTGGTTTTATTTAAATCTTAATGATAGGAACAAATAAATGTACTTTATCTATATATCGTACAAGCACTTGTGGATTATAGTACATAATTTAAATGTATGGTTGTGATGGAAAAAAATACTTAAATATTTATAGCATAATTTGACTCTTCTCAGTTAAGGTACATCCCTCATCCCTAGGATACAAAATACGAAAATGAATAGTGGTGTCTAAGAGTGATATTTTGTCAATGTATGTCTAGTCAGATTTCCTTCTAGTATGTATAAGTCATTTTAATAACAGAAAAATTCACTGAAATCAGGTGAAGTTCTGACACTTGTTTTCTCTATATTTTATCAAAACCACCTCACCCCTCCATCTGTTCCCCTTTCTTTTCCTTCAGTTTTCTATTGTTCGCTGTGCACTTCTTCCATTTTGAAATTCACTCTTGGGACATGCATTAATTTTATAGTATTTTGTAAGGTTTTTGTCACTATTAAAGTTATACTTTGTTCACAGTTACTTCACTGAAAAGTATATTTGCATTCAGGGCTCTTGGGTACTTTGGGGTTCAGGTATAATAATAAATACATGAGACACTAGTATGTATAGCCTAAGGGAGCACTAATTGTGTATCTTTCCATCTTGATTCCTCACAGCAAGAGAATTAGATGGTTGGGATTTAAAAAACAAGCTGCATTTCTAAACATGAGTTTATTAAAGATGAAAGTTCTTGGAGCTCATATGTTTTTACCTTGGAATGTTGAAAATAGAAAGTCAGTTTGAGACTCTTAGTATTTGGAAGTATATGGTGAATTGTGTTAATGATTCACATAAAGTTACCAAACCTGATTATGGTTTTCTAATCACTTCTGAAAGTTCTGTTTACAATTAGTCCTTTTGACTATTCTCATGAAATTAAAGGAATGGTTACCAAATTTCTTTTGCCACCATCTATCATAAAAATGATTGAATATGTTAAAGAAGAAGAAAGATGAGCTAGGTAAATGAATCCTACTTAGTGAAAAGAAACACAAATTACATGGTTAACAATGTAGCTTAATAAATTAATGTAACTTTCAAATTATGTGTCTCTTGAAATCTTAGCTACCAGAACTGTATGTTCATACAGGTCTTTCTAGCTGGCTTAAAGTCACTCTCACAAAAATGATTAAACGATAAATGTTAACACCCTGTCTGTTCATAATTTTGCTTATGGCACTGGAGCACCAGCCCAGAGTAAAATGACTCTGCCAGTGCTTAGCTATTAAATAGGAGAGAGTATTTTACATTGTTGTGCCACCAACATCCTTTGATTATTAAATGTGCCATTGCGTATGACATGCATGATGACATGTAATGACATATATTGAGAGTTAGTGATGATTAGAGCCATCCTGGAGGTAAATAGTTTGGGTCACAACTACTAGGCCACATTGCTTGTGCTGCTGGCATTGGGGCAATAATGTCAGTGAGAGGGAAGTTTACTCAACTAATCTTAGTTATTTATAGCCTGTTTTTCCTCACTTCCTCTCATTTCTTTCATTCCCCCAATCCTAACCACAGTCATGACAACACCACAAATTCAGGACTTTGACTGAAATCCCCTCTTTCCACACTTACACCTCAAGCTCCTTTTGGGGTTGGGTACGTCTTTTAAAAGAGAAAATGTGGAATATAACTTTGTGTAGGCCTTATTCTTAACTCATTATTTACTGTTATTAAACAACTCTAGGATGGTTTATTCATCAGTACAACTCTTAGAAAATTACCTTCTTCTTTTTGCAGATTACTTAGTTTTTGCATCTTATTTTTTGATCTTCTAGATTGTAGAAGGCATGAAGCAAAACAAATGGAGTCTTGAAAATATTGCCTTTGGTTCTGGTGGTGGTTTGCTACAGAAGTTCACAAGAGATCTCTTGAATTGTTCCTTCAAGTGTAGTTATGTTGTAACCAATGGCCTTGGGGTATGTCGTTCAATTTGTTTGGTACCTTTGTGAATCTAGGTAGAGTGCAGTTACTGACTGCAATAGTCAAAAGATAAATAATATGATCCTGAGGGAGCTACTAATATGTTGTCAGGTATCACTAACTGACTCAGAAAAAAGGAAAGAAAAACATTAGGTTTAATAACATGACACGATGTTGCAGTAAAAAGAAGACTCAAAAAAGGAAAAATGAGAGATAATCTAGGGGGAGAGAATGTAGGCCAGTCATTTCCCACTGCTTTAGTATATTAAATATACTGTATATTATATTGTATACTGTATATATCAGTATATTAAGTATACATAAATATAAATGTTTTGAATTAAAAAGTTGACTGTCCTTGAACCAAGGAATGTCAGCTAACCTAACCATCATATATTAAAGATAAGCAAGTATTGTAAACACTGTCAAACAGTGTTTTAGGAAGGTGGGTTATGAGTTTGGAGTTGATTAGTAGCCTTACAACGGGAATCCAAGCTGGTAGGCAGCTAAATAACAATCCCGCAGCTCTTAGGCTCTTGAGAGTCTGTGAATCGGAGGGTCGGGATTGGAAATAACTAAGGCCTCCTGAGAACACCTGGATTGGTTCCTGGCTTACTTCACCTCCATCTGTCTTTGGAGAGTTCTGGGTTTGACTCATCTGTTTCTTCTCCCATAACCATCACTAGTTGCTTCTATTATGTTTTGCCTCCTACCTTTCTGATCCTGAAACAAACATTCTGCTCTCTTCAGGTTCTCTAGGTCTTTTTTGCTTCTGACAGCACCAGGTAATAGAGTGAAAATTAACAAAAGGAAAAGCCTTTATCTTAGTAAAATCCTAGTTCCCTTGCCTTGGATTACATAAGAGAAACTGGCATTGATCCCCCACTCCCCAGTTGGATGTATGTGCCATACTTAGATCAGTTTAAAGGCAATTCATAACATAAAAGGAGATACCTTAAGGGTCACATGTTAAAATGGAGTATTGGGTATTCTGAAAGGATATCCAAATTTGGGTTTTGTACGTAACAGGAAATTTTGTCCTCCTAAACAGGCTAAACATTTCTAAGAGCCAGATGCGAATTGGTTTAGTCATATCTATAAAGTGCTTTATTTAAAATTTATATATAAATTATGTATAAGCTTTTTTAAAAAAATGGGAGTGAACATTTTTGATAGTCTTCTGTTTCTCTGATTCTCTTATTTGGATTCCAGGTTAATGTCTTTAAGGACCCAGTTGCTGATCCCAACAAAAGGTCCAAAAAAGGCCGATTATCTTTACATAGGACACCAGCAGGGAATTTTGTTACAATTGAAGAAGGAAAAGGAGACCTAGAGGAATACGGTCCAGTATGTATCTATGTTGATTTTTTTTTTAACAGTAGGTTGGCTCTCCAAATTAAGAAAGGATGCTTTTATGTTATTTACTAGTTCTTAATGTTATAAATATTTAAAGTAAGTTTTTACACATAGTGACCAGCAGCAGGAGTGATCTCTGAAGAATGGCTAAGAATATCTAAAGTATGCCTCTCTTAGGCTTCTCGTAGCTATTTATGTTAGAGTAAAACTGTGGTAATTACAATAATAGATAAAAGAAGGGCCATCCAAATTCTAAGATGTTGTTAAAAATAATTCCAGTTTTTTAAAGTTAATAATCCACTTAGATGATTTTCATTGGTCTCATTTGGTTGATGTAGCAACTCTATGGGCTAACAAAGGCAAATTATGTTCCCTTACTGTGAGATGTGAAAACAGCATGACTTGATTCAGGTTGCACAGCCCAGAAATGGTGAAACCTAGACTTGACCAAGTTTTCTGGTTTAAATCAACCAAACTAGAAAAATTTATCAAAACTGTTAAAGTAATCCATATGATCTAATGGTCTTTAACTATAAAGTACACATATTTATAAACTCAAAAAGTACAAATGCCTGTTTTTTTAAGCCACTGGATTGGGGGGGGGAACCCTCATTTTTAGAGGGATAACTACTGGTGAATGTTAATATGCTAGGAAGAAAGTTTACACTAGCATAAACACACGAATGCATTACTTTAGATTCTTTATACCATATCATATATTCTGCTTATGTTTTATTATATTAAGACTTTGAACCAGAATGAAATATAGTTTTCATTAACTATATAATATAAACAAATTCTTAAGCAAACCTTTGGAATTAGATCCCTTTATATAACCTGTGAGGGAGTTCTTTGAGTAGCCTTTATTTAACTCTTAATACCTACCAAAACTGCTCAATTAGTTTATCCCAGAAGGAGTAAAGTAACTTTAGACATAGCCCTAACTATGACTAAGAAAAAGGCATTGATTTAATGAGTATGTGAATGCTACTAAAGAATTTTTGAGGCAGTAATGAATTTATAATCACCTAGGCATTTTGATTAAGAATAGGAACCACCATTCCTTGATATATTATGTTTAACTTTATGAAAGAAAATGTCACACACCTTAATATTCAGACTAGATGGAAAATTTAGGCACAGTGAATTACTACTTCAGTGGATTTTTCAGAGAGAAATTAGAGGCAGATAATATCCCTAGTGAGATGGGTAGTTCCAGACCTGAGAGAGAATAGTCCTCATTCTCAGTTTATCCGTGTTACCCTTGCATGGGTCCAATGGACTACAAGGGTCAGTGACTTTAATATACAATCTTTTAAGTCGGTCACTTCATTAGTCAATAAATCAGTACTGGTTTTTGTTCCTGTTTTGAGTTTGATTTCTTATTTTTTTAGGGGTTGTTTTTAAGGCCAAAACTCAGTGACTAGCAAATTTATTAAATTCCAGGGTTGATAAGTATAATCAGTGCTGAGTCTGTTGGCTAGGAGCCAGGAAGTGTGGCAGCCTTTCGTGCTGCACTGTCATGATTATCAGCCACAGCACAGTTCTCCTGGGTGATCAAACAGCAGGTATCTCCCACATGAAAAAAAGAGTCAGCTAGGCGTTTATGTTTGTCCTTTAAGGAAAACTATTTTAATAATGTAATATTTAGATCATTACTATTCCTGCAGAGCCACTTTAGATAGTGCCTTGCTGTCTTCTTGCTCCACCAGCATTCTTTGTATGCAAAATCATTTCCTAATTAGGATACCATCAACACTTCTGTATTAGTCGAATTCAACACAGCATTACATAATTTTGCTTGATAATCTAATATAACCACTAAATTTTAGTATTGTTATATTTGTACAGGATCTTCTCCATACTGTTTTCAAGAATGGGAAGGTGACAAAAAATTATTCATTTGATGAAGTAAGAAAAAATGCAAAGCTGAGTATCGAACTGGAAGTAGCCCGTCATTAGGCTTTGTTTTATGACTGGCTGTGGGTACGTGCTTGTGTATGCATTTACATGCATGCACACGTACGCCCATGTGTGTATGTAATGCATAATGTTTATTGTACAGGTGTGTGGGGGTTGTGTTTTATGATACATGACAGCCAAATTATTTGTTGGTTTATGGACATACTGCCCTTTTCTTTCTTTTTTTCCAGTGTTTAGGTGACCTCAAAATAGGAAATGCAGTTAACCATGTAAAAGATTAATGGTAAAGTAAGCTTTTTAGGGCTCTTTGCCAATAGATAGTAATTCAATCTGGTATTGATATTTTCACAATCAAACCAAGAAACTTTTATATATAACTGAAGATCACATAAAACAGATTTGCATAAAATTATCATTGCTTTATGTTTATATTTAACTTGTATTTTTGTACAAATAAGATTGTGTAAGATACAAGGTTTCAGTGATTTAACAGTCTTTCCAACTTTTCCTGATTTTTATGAGTACAGACTTTCAAGAAAAAAACACTTGAAAATAAATTACATTGCCTTGTGTCCATTAATCAGCAAATAAAACATGGCCTTAAAGTTGTTTGTGTTATTGTACAATTTGGAAATTATGTCGGGACATACCCTATAGAATTACTAACCTCACTGCCCCTTGTAGAAAATGTATTAATCATTCTACATTAAAGAAAATAACGGTTCTTACTGGAATGGAATGTCTAGGCACTGTACAGTGATGATATACATCGGTCATTGTATTGTACCAGTGAAAAGCCAAATTTAAAAGGCCTGAAACTGCAGTTTTTGTATGTCAGATATTGCCTGTGGTGGCTCTAATATGCACCTCAAGATTTTAAGGAGAAGATGTTTTTAGAGAGAATTTCTGCTTCCACTATAGAATATATACATAAGTGTAAAATACTGACATAAGTGGAAGTAGTGTATTTTAAAGTAATTACACTTCTGAGTTTATTTTTCCTATTCTGTAGTTGATATGACTTAAATGAATTACTGGAATGGGTAGTGAGTGTGCTTATTTTAAATGTTCTGATTCTGTTATATTTTTCATTAAGTTTTTTAAAAATTAAATTGAATATTAAATTGTATGGACATTATTTATTAATTTTAAATTGAATCTCTCAGTAAATACTCAAGTTCTTAAATTAAGATAAATTATCCCCAGTGAAACGGATGGTGATACAAGTCTGAGTAGAGAATCTTAACCAAAAGCAGAAGTTGGCTGAGTTCAGAGTGTTCAACATCAAAACGTTCTGGAGTGATTAACTGCTAAATTCTGAGTCAGTCATCACATAGACTTGAGACTAAGTTTTTTTGTTTTTAGATGATTCTATTATATTTAGGTCTGTTATTCTAAGATGGGCGGTGGCCAACAGTGGCCCACAGGCCAAATTCAGACTGGTCTTTTCTTTTTTTTTGTAAAAACTTTTTGTGTGTATGGCTGCTTTCTCAGGACAACCATAGAAACTGAGTAGTGATAGTGGCCGTATGGCCTGAAATGTTTATTATCTGGCCCTTTACAGAAAGTTTGCCAGCCTCTGTTCTAAGAAAAGGAGTGTGCCTTGAATTTTAAGGAAAATGTTGATTTCCAGGGAAGGGGTAGGCTAAGTTGATAGGGAGTTTGTCTCTCTTGTCTGTTCTTTTCTCATTTAAGAATCTGATAGTGAAGGATTGATTTAGAAAAGGTTTAACATGACGATAAGTGTGAAATTTTAAAAATTGAAAAGCCATAACTCATCTGTCCTAAACAGTTACATAAGAAAGTATTTATCAGAATAATCTTAGAGTTGAGCTGCCTTTATTAAATCTTTTATAAGCATCATTAAAAAATGTTTTTGCAGATTTTAAACAGTTGTTTAATGAAAACCATAAGCATTATTCACTTTTAGTAAGTTTTGATCCTGTAATTCCTGGTGAAAAGTAATTGATTTTCTTTTAAATATATCTAAGTAAAGATTATTAGTATTAACAAGAACACACCTCTTCACAACATGTGCTAAGGAGTTTATAAAGAATTAAAAGAAACTATATTAATAACAACTTTGATAAGCATCCATAATTTTGATTTTGTTTAAACATTGGAATTCTACAGACAATATTCTTTGTGTACTGTGAATTTAAGCAGTTTCAGAGTATCTAGAGGAGCTCTATTAATGCTAAAAGTCTGTAAATTTGGACATGGCTGTACAATGGGAAAGGGGGTTGTGGAAAGATGCTTTCTGTTAGCTCTTAGCCACTTGGAACTCATTAACCCTGAATTTCCATCACTAAGCACTTAGTATTTGGCCATCCCCTTTCTGAGTAGCAAATGGTTAACACATGTCAAGTAGAACTCTGCTGTCACCCTTAAATCAGCGTAAGTCTTCCAGACAAAGGCAGATGGCATGCAGGGTTTGCATAAGTCACTAGATTTACAGCTGACCTCAGTTAATCTCTCAATTCATAATATGAAGTATATGTGTTTTAAATAGGAGATATGAGTTCTGTGTTAAGACTCTTTATTTGTACTCCATAGTTAAAGTAAAGTGGTTTTCATGATTATCCCTAATTTCCTTTCCTGAAATAAACTGTTATGAAAAAGATAATGAACTCCATCTTGGGAAACTAGAAAGAGAAAAAAATGGCAAGGTAGTTAATTGTTCTGTTTGCCACAATTAGAATCCACACTTAAACAAATATTTTATAGTTCTACATTCTTTTTTACCCATTCAGTGGAGAATGTCCAGCTTTTCTCCCAAGTTGTATGTTAATGCAATTCTAATATGTATACAACATCAAAGATAAACATGTAATAAACATGGAAATAAAGCTTTAGCTCTATTAGCAAAATGTTAAATTTGACTGTGTGCTTCAAATAATGGCATTACCAAACTTAGCATTCTCCAGTTCAATGAATCAAAGAATGAGAGAGGAAGAGGCATCAAGGTTAACTCCTCTATTTTCTGTCTTGTGCAGTTATGTGAACGGCAGTGCCTCTTACTAAGAATACTGGAGAGAGCAGATGCAGGGAGAAGGGCACAATTCCTAGGGTAAGATCTGAGGTGCCTTTGAGATATTTACATGTGGATATCAGGCAGTTGGATATATAGATTTGGGGACAGAAGGATCTCAAGAGGTGAATTTGTTGTGCAGATGATGGCTGGAGATAGAAAAGAGGGTACTCTTTAGGGAGAGTGTAGAATATGGCCTGGTAAACTCTAAGCCAAATTCAGCCCACCATGTTTCTGTCAGTGAAGTTTTATTGCAATACAGCCATGCCCAATTATTTGATTATTGTCTATAGCTGCTTTCATGCTACAACAGCAGAATTCAGTACAGCCTTCAAAGTCTTAAAATAATTTACTATTTGGTCCTTTAAAAAAAATATGCCAATCTCTGCTATAGAGTATAAAGAAAAGAGGACCCAGGGCAAAGCCACACAGAAACTCTTATGTAACATGGCCGAAGGTGAGCAAAGGAGACTGAAGAGCAGTAGCTAAAGAGATGGAAGGTAAACCATGAGGAGTAAAGTGAAAGCCAAAGGGAGTTTTTCTGCCCATGTGTGGAATGCTGCTGAAAGCAAGAACTGAGGGATTAAAAACATTGATTGGATTTAATCACCTGGAAATAACTGGTATTTTAGAGGCATTCCTCTCCAGGTTGTGTGGAGGAGGCAGATGTCAGAAGTACCTTGGACAACTCTGAATTTTAGATGTTAAGAGAGGTTGAGGCAATAACGTGTCTTCCTTTCCCTTTTTAACTGCCATTTTATCTCTGTAAAGGATACAGGAAAGAGGCAGAAGGTGAAGAGCCAAAAGAGATCAGTGACAGTACTGGGTCATAACAAGGCGGAAGAGGGTGGGGTCCAAAGTGCTGGTGAAGGGACTGGAGTTTAGATGGATTGGAGGGATGCTTTTATTTTACAAAAAGGAGTAGGTACATACACAGGCTTTGGTTTTCTCTGTGAAGTCAGAGACAATATGGGATTGGAGTTTTGAAAATGGAGGCTTTAAAAGAGTTATTGTGGAGAATAAAGTGACCAGAGGTAAAGCAGGACTGTAGAACAATGTGGAGGACCCAGCTTGTATCAATTTGGTGATTGATAACTTACAGGAAAAATCTGCCTTTTGTGTTCCCTCACCATCCCCAATGGCACACTGATGCCTGGGCACAGAGAAAATGGAGCTGTTCCAGGTTTTGCCAGATAAATTTCATAAAGGGATGCCAATTGAATAATAATTGTAATAATTAAGTTGCTAAAATAGTGGTCCTACAGTATCCAAACTGGCTAGGTAAGGATGCGAATTTAAAAAGCATTGGAAAGATAGCTGAACGGACAGTCTGATCACAGCTCTGATGTATGGGGAGTTGTTGACCAAGCAGGTTTGGAAGGACAGAAAATGCTAGTCCAAGGCAAGGATGCTTGGTTTAGTGATCTGAGAGCACTGTGATGCAGTGTAGTCTAAGGTGTGACCTTGAGTGACTAAATGGAGTAAAGAAGATCATGATAGACAAAAACAATAAGAAACCTGAAAGGACAAGTGGGTTGGACAGGTGGACATTAAAATCATCCAGGAAGATGACAGAAGGTAACAGTGCAGAGGAAAGCTAAATCAGGTGCTAAAGTGTTTGTGAATGAAGGGAAAAGACCAGGAGGTCAGCAGGAGGTAGCAACAAGGAGGCGTGTGAGCCTCTAAGAGATCAAGCAGTGTAGACTTAAGATGGAGTTCCTGCTGTTCTTAATAGCCTTTTTATATCTTGGCATTTTCATCATAGGCAAGAAAAATTAATTGATGCTTGTCCCATGTCCCTGCCCTACCTCAGTTCCAGTCCCCTGCTCAGAGCATTTGGTGCTCTCTAGCCTATAGGTTAATGCTCAGAAACCAGCCTAACCCATTAAATCCTCCTTGATCTGGCCCATGCTATGCAGATAGCCTCATGTGTTGCTTTTTTATTTCCTATGCTCGCAGTACCAACTTGCTCTACCTTACACACAACTTATGCACACATACCCACATTACACCACTTTCTCCAGTTTCTCCACTTTTGCTTATGCTACACCTTAGCCAGGAATGCCTAGATTTAGCCAGCTCATTTTAGGTGATTAGGCAATAACACCTCCAAGAAGCATTCAGTGACTCACCTCTGCCATTTCCACACCACATGCCATTCTTCTGGCCTCCATTATTGACTGTATTTCTAAAATAGCTTAAAATCCGTGGATCTTTAGCCTGTACAAGGCAGTAGAGGATGGTGTTTTATTCATCTCTATCTCCTGCATTCAACACACAGACATTCACATGTTTGTTGATTGAATGTCATTAAGATAACCACTTCAATAGTATCTTGGTATTCTCTGTAATGCTAATACCCTAAACATTTTATAAGTGTTAAATATAGTTACTAAACTTTTTTTTAATGGATAGCTTTTTCAAAGCATGTTCACTTATTACTGTCTTTGAAAAGTCTCAACAGTAAACTGAAGTGTAAGGTGTCTCATCAAAATAGAGATTAGGAAAATAAGGTACAAAGAGGATAAATTATTTGTGGAAGGTTACCTTGTATAAAGTTTACTACTTCATAATTCTCTTTGAGTCTTAGACTTCTGAGAATTTGCTGAAAACTATTCATAGAAAGGTTCTCATTTGCAAATAAAAGTTTATTTTGCATGTAGCAAGTCTATTCCACAGACTCCACATGAGTACTCTAGATAAAATGCAGAGCAGAGATCAGAATTCAGGATGCTCAGTCTCTACCAAATAACCTTCCTTCTCTGAATTTAGAGTGGGATTTTAATGTTAATCACCTTTAATTGCTTTGGAACAATGAAAAGTAAATAAATACCATTTTAATTCAACTCAAGGGGTTGTGAAATAAAAATTCAACTACATTTAAAGATGACGTTGGCTTTTTTCAATGGTTCATGAGTTGGACAACGTCCCATTTAGCAGTAGGAGTACTGCCAAGCTGTAGAAAGGGAAAAGGTGTAAAGTCAGAGAGGAAAGTATTACCAAAGAATGCATTGTTTCAGGCAAAGTTATCCTTCTAAGAGAAGTGGAAGATTGAGCAGATAGCCTCACTAGTGCTGACCAGGAAAATCTAGGTTGACTGGTTAAAGGTTACATTCCTGGGGATGGGAACTGCAGTTATGTTAGGCATTCTTGGTTTGCAGGTTGGGGTTTAACACAAGGGACTCCATCTTAGGCCTGCTGTCTCCTTTGTAATGTTTCTACAGACTTCACCGATGCAGATTCCAAAATGGGTGGTTATTTTAAATGCCTTTTTTAGATGGAAATCAAGCTTAGGACATAAAATTCAGAAATCTGACCATGTGATGTGGGGCGATCAAGAAGAAAATCAGGACTCTTCCTGTGTGAACCAGCGACACCAAACATCTGACAAAACCATTATTTGTATTTTTGTAACTAGAAGATTCTGTTTCCTGCAGTGAATGCTGGCTAAGTTATCGTGATCATCTTCCCACTGAAAAATGGCAAAAACTAATTGTGTAACTTATTTTAAGTATTAAACTAATAGGACAGTAATAACTTACTAGGCCAAAATCCAAGTGAATATGGGACTGTTGGGGGAGAACCAAGCTTTTGTCCTGCATTTACCAAACCTGGGGTTTATGAACTTCAGTCTTTAGCACCTGACAGGACATGAAATCAAAGATACTTCCACTATAAAGCAAGCCCTGCAAAGAGCTACAACTCAGTTTGAGGATGAACTAGTAGTAAACCCATCGACATGCTGCTAGGGCACTGCAAGGAAAGCTCTGGGCAGACCAAGTTCAGAAAAATCTCTTCTAAGAGGCCATTGCAAGCTACCTACATTTGCAGTCCAAATTCCACCCCTTACATGTTACAAAAGCCTCAAGCTATACATTTAGAGTAAACCAGACCAGTAGAGTTCCTAAATGCCTAACCGAATGTAAATCCTTTCTAAAATGATGTTCTTTCATCCTAAGCCTTTAAGAACTCCCCAAATAATTTTCTAAGGGAAATGAGCAACTCACAGTCAAAATAACTAATCACACAAGAAAACAAGATACCAGGAATGGGAGTAGCAGAAAAAAGACCCGTACAAGGTTGAGGTATGGAAATTGTCAGACATTACAAAATACACTTACCATGTTTTTAGAAAAGAAAATGGCTTGAAAATATCTGCAAGGAATAGGAAAATTTTTTAATGACCTAACAGATTTGAAAAAGGAATAAATACTTAGAGAAATAAAAAATACAGACACAAATTAAACAGATTAGACCGGTAGAAGGAACCAAAGGAAAGAGATCAGAAGGAATTTTTCAGAATCCAGCACAAAACATGGACAAAGTCAAAAGCGACATGGAAACATCAAAGGGCCTACCTACCCTATGTGTCTAATCAGCTATAGAGGCAGAGGAAAGAGAAAATGGGATAGAGGCTGTGTTCCAAAATAAAAGTGCTCAGGACTTACCTGAACTTGAAGATGCAACATCCTAAAGATTAAGGAGCTTGATGAATCCCAAGCAAGGTAAATTTAAAAATCCACACCCAGATACAGTGAAACTCCAAATCAACAATAGCGATGAAAGTATCTTAAAAGTAGCCAGAAAAAAAAGGATCGAATTCTAAGGAAAGACACTGACAACTGAACCTCAACAATGGAAGCTGAAAGCCAGAAAACAATGCAATGTCCTAAAACAAAATAATTGCCAACAAAGAACCCTATTCCACTAAAAGTATTTTCCAAGAATGAGGGTTATATAGAGATATTTTCAGACCACTGTACACACACTTAAAGTTTGCTCTAACATACCTTCATAAAGGAAATTCTCAAAGATGAAAGAATAAAGAGCCATCAAAGTAGTACTT